TTTAGCCCTGGTTTCGTCCTGGTTTTCGTCCTGGTTTAGTCCTGGTCTAGTCCTGGTCTAGTCCTGGTTTAGTCCTGGTTTCGTCCTGGTTTAGTCCTGGTCTTAGTCCTGGTCTAGTTGTTTCATCCTGGTTTCAGTCCTGGTTTCGTCCTGGTCTTAGTCCTGGTTTCGTCCTGGTCTAGTCCTGGTTTGTCCTGGTCTTGTCCTGGTCTTGTCCTGGTTTAGTCCTGGTTTGTCCTGGTTTAGTCCTGGTTCGTCCTGGTTTCGTCTGGTTTCGTCCTGGGTCTTGTCCTGGTCTTGTCCTGGTCTTGTCCTGGTTAGTCCTGGTTTCGTCCTGGTTTCGTCCTGGTTTCGTCTGGTTTCGTCCTGGTTTCGTCCTGGTCTTTGTCCTGGTCTTAGTCCTGGTTTAGTCCTGGTTTCTCTGGTTTGTCCTGGTTTGTCCTGGTTTAGTCCTGGTTTCGTCCTGGTTTAGTCCTGGTTTAGTCCTGGTTTAGTCCTGGTTTAGTCCTGGTTTAGTCCTGGTTTAGTCCTGGTTTAGTCCTGGGGCAGATGTCCTCTCCACAAACGTCTTTATTTTTGCAGAATTTAAATTTCCGACGAGTTTTTGTTTGGATTTAAAGAGCGAAAATCTCAAGAACAAATTCCTCATCGTTTAGTTTTTTAATGACTTGACTTTTTGAAGTTCAGAGGTGTTTTGTTTGGTGACTGGTCAAGTCTAATTTGCACCGGGACGAGTAAAAAAAGATTTATTACGGGACTTTTTTTGGTCAAAGGACACCTGCTCGTTTCCATGGAGATGTTATTGATTGGTCTGGAATGTTTCACAGTGCGGCTTTAAACCGGTTAAACTGTGTTGTTCGAAAAGTCCTGGTTTGATCCTGGTTTAGTCCTGGTTTAGTCCTGGTTTAGTCCTGGTTTAGTCCTGGTCTGGTCCTTGGTCTAGTCCTTATTTAGTCCTGGTCTAGTCCTGGTTTAGTCCTGATTTAGTCCTGCTTTTAGTCCTGGTTTAGTCCTGGTTTAGTCCTGGTTTCGGTCTCCTGGTTTCATCCTGGTTTAGTCCTGGTCTAGTCCTGGTCTGGTCCTTGGTCTAGTCCTTGTTTAGTCCTGGTCTAGTCCTGGTCTAGTCCTGGTCCTAGTCCTGGTTAGTCCTGGTTTAGTCCTGGTTTAGTCCTGGTCTAGTCCTGGTCTAGTCCTCCTTTGATCCTGGTTTAGTCCTGGTCTAGTCCTGGTTTAGTCCTGGTTTAAGTCCTGGTTTAGTCCTGGTTAGTCCTGGTCTAGTCCTGGTCTAGTCCTCCTTTGATCCTGGTCTAGTCCTGGTCAAGTCCTGGTCTAGTCCTGGTTTCGTCCTGGTCTAGTCCTGGTTTAGTCCTGGTTTAGTCCTGGTTTGCGTCACTTCCAGTCGGTCTGAACATCGACTCTGAACATTAATTCCGAATATAAATAAAATAGATTAAACTAAAATAACCAGAATTTCTCTTCACACTTTTGTCGTTAAATCTTTTTCTTCATCTTCGTCTGTAGTAAGAAAAAATAAAATAAAACAAACACATATTTCCGTTAGACCTTAAACTCCTCGTCTGTTCTTGTCGTGTTTTGGCTCCGGTCGCAGTAGAACCGTGTTGTTTTTGGCGCCTCCTGTTGGCTCGTGCAGGTGTGACACGTGGGAGGGAGAAGATTGTTTTTCTGCACTTTGCTCCGAGAAAAAACACCAGGATTTTCACACCGAGGAAGATTATTTTGGACGTGATATGAAAACGACTTATTGAGATTAGTTTTTGGACTTCGTTTCGTGAGCTGCGCCGAGGAATATCTCCATAGAAACGAGCAGAAAAGTGACACGGTGCACCTTTAAAAGCAGAAGTGTTCATTCGTTTTTAGTGAATTGTTGGCTCTAATTTGTCCTTTAATAAAATTAAATGTTATATAATAAAAATTTAATAAATCCTGGTTTAATCCTGGTTCAGTCCTGGTTTAGTCTTACTATAGTCCTGGTCTAGTCCTAATTTAGTCCCGGTTTAGTCCTGGTCTAGTCCTGGTTTAGTTCCGGTTTAGATCTGCTACAGTCCTGGTTTAGTCCTACTCTAGTCCTGGTCTAGTCCTGGTTTAGTCCTGGTTTAGTCTTACTCTAGTCCTGGTTTAGTCCTGGTTTAGTCTTACTCTAGTCCTGGTTTAGTCCTGGTCTAGTCCTGATTTAGTCCTGATTTAGACCTGGTTTAGTACTTGGTCTTGTCCTGGTTTAGTCCGAGTTTAGTCTTACTCTAGTCCTGGTTTAATCCTGGTTTAGTCCTGGTTTAGTCCTGGTTTAGTCCTGGTCTGGTCCTTGTTTAGTCCTGATTTAGTCCTGATTTAGACCTGGTTTAGTCCTTGGTCTAGTCCTGGTTTAGTCCGAGTTTAGTCTTACTCTAGTCCTGGTTTAATCCTGGTTCAGTCCTGGTTTAGTCCTGGTTTAGTCCTGGTCTAGTCCTGGTCTAGTCCTTGTTTAGTCCTGGTCTAGTCCTGGTTTGGTCCTGGTCTAGTCCTGGTTTAGTTCCTGGTTTAGTCCTGGTTTAGTTCCTGGTTTAGTCCTGGTTTAGTCCTGGTTTAGTCCTGGTTTAGTCCTGGTCTCAGTACCAGACTGGACCAGCAGAGGGCGCTGTGTCTCTGCTCTGGGAATCACCTGCTCGTGTTTCTGTCACATATTTTTGGACAGAACTTAAAGCTTCACTGTGTAACTTTTACTTTTATGGGTCCGTCACCTTCTTGTTTCTATGGATACGTCATTCCTCTGTCTGGAATGTTCCGCAGTGAGACTTTAAACAGCTCGACTTTACATTTATTCAATTACAATTTTTGGTTTTATAGCTCGAAAAACAAGACATTGTGACTGTGAGCGGGGTCGCCTCTCCGCAGATCTGACCTGTAACCCGGTCTGTTTCGGTCTCCATGACGATAGAAAGGTTTAAAGCCATACTGCGGAACATTTTAGACAAAACAATAACGATAATAACTTTTTGTGACAGATTAAAACGCAGGTTCGTGGATTTTTTTATTTTATTTTTTTCTGTTGATACTTTGCGCTGACGTGACTCCCGGGGTGTTCTGTGTATGTGTGTCTAGGGTGGAATGTTGAGCGGTTTCCGTGGCGACATTAGCTGGAAAAGTTTGGAGACGGTCAGATTCTGTTTCAGACGAAGCTCCAACAGATTTTTTTTTTTTTTTGTGTGTGTTTCAGGTGCGATTTCCACAGAACAGAGACAAACGGAGCTAAAAATAAAGTGTCATTTTGTCTCCTGCCCACAGTCCTGGTCTAGTCCTGGTCTAGTCCTGGTCTAGTCCTGGTCTAGTCCTGGTCTAGTCCTCGTCCAGTCCTGGTCTAGTCCTGGTCTAGTCCTGGTCTGGTCCTGGTCTGGTCCTGGTCTAGTCCTGGTCTGGTCCTGGTCTAGTCCCGGTCTGGTCCTGGTCTAGTCCTGGTCTAGTCCTCGTACAGTCCTGGTCTAGTCCTGGTCTAGTCCTGGTCTGTCCTGTCTAGTCTGGTCTAGTCCTGTCCCTGGTCTAGTCCTGGTCTAGTCCCGGTCTAGTCCTGGTCTAGGTCCTGGTCTAGTCCTGGTCTAGTCCTCGGTCTAGTCCTGGTCTAGTCCTGGGTCTAGTCCGGTCTAGTCCTGGTCTGGTCCCTGGTCTAGTCCTGGTCTAGTCCTGGTCTAGTCCCGGTCTAGTCCTGGTCTAGTCCCGGTCTAGTCCTGGTCTGGTCCTGGTCTAGTCCTGGTCTAGTCCTGGTCTAGTCCTGGTCTAGTCCTGGTCTAGTCCTGGTCTAGGTCCCTGGTCTAGTCCTGGTCTAGGTCCTGGTCTAGTCCTGGTCTAGTCCTGTCTAGTCCTGGTCTAGTCCTGGTCTAGTCCTCGTACAGTCCTGGTCTAGTCCTGGTCTAGTCCTGGTCTAGTCCTGGTCTAGTCCTGGTCTAGTCCTGGTCTAGTCCTGGTCTAGTCCTGGTCTAGTCCTCGTACAGTCCTGGTCTAGTCCTGGTCTAGTCCTCGTACAGTCCCGGTCTAGTCCTGGTCTAGTCCTCGTACAGTCCCGGTCTAGTCCTGGTCTAGTCCTCGTACAGTCCCGGTCTAGTCCCGGTCTAGTCCTGGTCTAGTCCTCGTACAGTCCCGGTCTAGTCCTGGTCTAGTCCTGGTCTAGTCCTGTGACAGTCTTGAGAGAGTTTAGTCCAACTTTAGTCCTATTTTAATCTTCAGTTAGACCTGGTTCAGTCCTAGTTTTAAACCAGGTTGAGATCTGGTTTAGTCCTAATTTAGTCTTGGTTTAGATCTGTTTTAAACTTGGATTGAACCCTATTCAATTTTAGGTTTAGTCCTGGTTTAGTCCTAGTTTAGTCCTAGTTTAGACCTGGTTTTGACCTGGTTTAGTTGCTTTGTCTGAAATATTCCACAGTGGGGCATTAAATTTGTCCATCTTGTGTTGATCCAATTACAATAAAAAATAAGATCATATAAAATTGCTCACTTCTCCACAGATCTGACCTGTAACTTGGTGCCTTCGTGGACAAACTGAGTCAAGAGTCGAGACAAGAAGCTGACAGGACCTGCACTAGAAAAGTTACATAGTGGAGCTTTAACTAATGATCCAAAATGTAAAACGAAACCCAACTATATTCAGATCTAAACTCCAGGATTTGTCGTTTTTATGCAGAATAAACAGGAGATTTTTCTGTTTGTGGATTAAATTAAAGGGAAATTTGCTTGATTTTGTGATTTGCAAATTGAGTTTATTCAAATTTTGATTTTGATTAGACTCTGATTCATATTTTAGTGACCGAAAAAACGTAGAAAAACATCGTTGTAATCTTCTCGTCTCCATGTTTGTCCTCAGGAAACGTGACCGTGGCCTCGGAGTGATGACTTTAGGGAGGATTTGACCCGGATCTGGACCTGGGATCTGGACTTGGACTGAGTCTGGACCAAACCTGAACCGGATCTGGACTAAGCCTGGATTAAAGTTGGAGTTTAAGTGAGTCTGGATGAACATGTCTCTGGTGGACAAGCACAAAGTGAAGAGACAGAGGCTGGACCGCATCTGTGAAGGTGAGAGCTGAATTAAACTTTATTATTCTTAGTTATTTTTTTTTATTTATTTTTTTATATTTTATTTACTTATTATTTTTATAAATTTTTATTTAATTTTATTATTTTATATGTATTATTTATATATTTTTTGTTTTTATTATTTGTATAATTTTTTGTTTTTTATTTTAAGTATTTGTATTTATTTGTTTTTTGTTTTTGTTTTTTTTTTATTTTTTATTTTTTTTATTCTTTTTATTTATTTATATTTTTTATTTTTATTACTTATCATTCTTATTCATTCATTTATTTATTTCTATTTATTTTTTATTTTTATTATTTATATATTTTTTTAGTTTTTATTATTTTTATTCATTTTTTAGCTTTTTGTTTTAAGTTTTAGTATTTATTTGTAGTTTTTATTTATTATTATTTTTATTTTTATAATTTTTATGTATGTTTATATTTTTTATGTATTTATATATATATTTTTTTATTTATTGAATAATTTTTATTTATTTTTATTTAATTTGTTTTATTCATTTATTTTTTTAAATAATTTTTTTTTAAATTTTACGTTCAAATTATATATGTATGTATTTATTTGGCAGAAATTGACTAAAAAATTGTTCGGTTGTGGTTTTTTTTTTGTGTGTTTTTTTGGAATCAGAAAATAATCACCAGGCTGTAACATGAGTGCAGTGTGTCAGATGCCCTCCCGTCCTCACGTGGTTTAAATATTTGTCGTGGAAAAATGTCACAAACGTCTCTGGACTAAAATATTTTTCAGAATAATCGTTTATTTGTTGTAATTTTGTTCTAATTTGAGTCGAACAAAATGTTTATTATAAAAACATCTGGGTCAGAATCTCACTGTTTTCCTCTGGGACTGAAGAACGAACAGAAACAACAGAGTCACAGAGTCGCCTCCTCCACTCCTCCTCTCACCTCCTCCACTCCACTCCTCCACTCCTCCACTCCTCCTCCCTCCTCCTCCACTCTCACCTCCTCCACTCCTCCACTCCTCACTCCTCACCTCTCCACTCCTCCACTCCTCCTCTCCTCCACTCCTCCACTCCTCCTCCTCACTCCTCCACTCCTCCTCCTCCTCCTCCTCTCCTCACCTCCTCCACTCTCCTCCACTCCTCCTCTCCTCCTCTCCTCCACTCCTCCACTCCTCCTCTCACCTCCTCCACTCCTCCTCCTCCTCACTCCTCACCTCCTCCACTCCTCCCTCCTCCACTCCTCCACTCCTCACTCCTCCACTCCTCCACTCCTCCACTCTCCACTCCTCCTCCTCACTCCTCCTCACTCCTCCACTCCTCCTCCTCCTCCTCACCTCCTCCCTCCTCCACTCCTCACTCCTCCACTCCTCCTCACCTCCTCCACTCCTCCACTCCTCCACCTCCTCCACTCCTCCACTCCTCCTCCTCCTCCTCACCTCCTCCACTCCTCCTCCTCACTCTCCTCCACTCTCCACTCCTCCACTCCTCACCTCCTCACCTCCTCCTCCACCCCTCCACTCCTCACTCCTCCTCACCTCCTCACCTCCTCCTCCACTCCTCACTCCTCCTCCTCCTCCTCCACTCCTCCACTCCTCCACTCCTCACTCCTCACTCCTCACTCCTCACTCCACCTCCTCCACTCCACTCCTCCACTCCTCCACTCCTCACCTCCTCCACTCCTCACTCCTCCCTCCTCCTCACTCTCTCCACTCCTCCACTCCTCACCTCCTCCACTCCTCCACTCTCCTCCACTCCTCCACTCCTCCTCTCCTCACTCTCCTCCTCTCCTCCACTCTCCACTCCACTCCTCACTCCTCCTCCACCTCCTCCACTCCTCACTCCTCACTCTCCTCCACTCCTCCCACTCCTCCTCCACTCCTCCACTCCTCACCTCCTCCTCACTCCTCCACTCCTCCTCTCACCTCCTCACTCTCCTCCTCACCTCCTCCTCCACTCCTCACCTCCTCCACTCCTCCACTCCTCCACTCCTCCACTCCTCTCCTCCTCCCTCCACTCCTCACCTCCTCACCTCCTCCACTCCTCCACTCCTCCACTCCTCCACTCCTCCCCTCCTCCACTCCTCACTCTCCTCCACTCCTCTCTCACTCCTCCTCTCCTCCACTCCTCCACTCCTCCCCTCCTCACCTCCTCCTCCTCCTCACTCCTCACCTCCTCCACTCCTCCACTCCTCCTCCTCCTCCCTCCTCCACCTCCTCACCTCCTCCACTCCTCACCTCCTCCACTCCTCCACTCCTCACCTCCTCACTCCTCCACTCCTCCACTCCTCCACTCCTCCACTCCTCCACTCCTCCACTCCTCCCTCCTCCACTCCTCCTCCACTCCTCCTCCTCCACCTCCTCCACTCTCCACTCCTCCCCTCCTCCACTCCTCCACTCCTCCACTCCTCCACTCCTCCTCCTCACTCCTCCACTCCTCCCTCCTCCACTCCTCCACTCCTCACTCCTCACTCCTCCTCACCTCCTCCACTCCTCCTCCCCTCCACCTCCCCCTCCACTCCTCCACTCCTCCACTCCTCACTCCTCCTCCTCCACTCCTCCACTCCTCACCTCCTCCACTCCTCCTCTCACTCCTCACCTCCTCACCTCCTCCACCTCCTCCACTCCTCACCTCCTCCACTCCTCCACTCCTCACCCTCCTCCACTCCTCACTCCTCCACTCCTCTCCTCCACTCCTCCACTCCTCCACTCTCCTCTCCTCCTCTCCTCCACCTCCTCCACTCCTCCACTCCTCCACTCTCCTCCTCACTCCTCACCTCCTCCTCCACCTCCTCCACTCCTCCACTCCTCACTCCTCTCCTCACTCCCTCCTCTCCTCCACTCCTCCACTCCTTCCCTCCTCCCCTCCTCCACTCCTCCACTCCTCCACTCCTCACTCCTCACTCCTCCTCCACTCCTCCACTCCTCCACTCCTCCACTCCTCACCTCCTCCACTCCTCCACTCCTCCCTCCTCACTCCTCCACTCCTCACTCCTCCACCTCCTCCTCACTCCTCACCTCCTCCACTCCTCCACTCCTCACCTCCTCCACTCCTCCACCTGAGGCTCTCTCTCTCTCCTTTCTCTCTATCTCTTCTCTCTCTCTCTCTTTTTCTCTTTCTCTCTCCTTTTCTTTTTCTTTCTCTCTATCATTCTCTCTCTCTGTCTCTTTTCTCTCTTCATACTCCCTCTCTCTCCCACCACTCCCACCTTCTCCCCCTTCTCTCTGTCTCTCTCTCTCTCCTTCCTTCTTTCTCTCTCTCTCTCTCTCTTTTCTCTTTCTCCCCCTCTCTCCTTCTTTCTTTCTTTCTCTCTCTCTTTTTCTCTCGCTCTCCTTTGCTCTCTCTCTCTTTTCTCTTCTCTCTTCATGCTCCCTCTTTCTCACGCCATCCACACTCCCCTCTTTCTCTCCTTTTTCTCTCTTCACCTCCTCTCTCTCTCTCTCCTTTCTCTCTGTCTCTTCTCTCTCTTTTTTTCCTCTTTTTCTCTCCTTTTCTTTTTCTCTCTCTCTGTCATTCTCTCTCCTTTCTCTCTCTCTGTCTCTTTTCTCTCTTCATACTCCCTCTCTCTCCCACCACTCCCACCTTCTCCCCCTTCTCCTCTCCTTTTTCTCTCTTCACCTCTACCCTCTCTTCCTCTCTCTCTCCTTTCTCTCTCTCCTTCCTCTCTCTCCCACCTTTCTCTCTCCGTTCTGTCTCTCCTATCTCTATTTCTCTCTTTACTCTCGCTCCCTTTACTTTCTCTCTTTTGTCTCTCCGTTTCCCTTCTCTTCTCTCTTCACCCCCTCACACTGTCCCCACCCGCTTTCCCTCTCTCTCTCCTTTTTCTCTTTTTCTCTCTCTCTTCTTCCCCCACTTATCTCTCTATCTCTCCTTCTATCTCCTCTGCCCCTTCACCCTTTCTTCTCTCGTTTCATACCTCCTCTCTCTCTCTCTCTTCAAACTCCCCCTCTCTTTCTCTTTCTTTCGTTTGTTCAGAGGACGGTCTCTCTCTCTCTCTCTCTCTTTTTCTCTCTCTGTTGTTCTGTCGTTCACAGTAAAACAAAAAAAACAAAAAAGAATTGTAGGAAACACAGACTCTGGTTTTGGGACTAAACCAGGACTAAACCAGGACTAAACCAGGACTAAACCTGGACTAAACCATCATTGTGTATCTTTAATATTAATGCTTAAGTCTAGACTGAGGATTAGACCTGGTTTAGTCCTGGTTGAGTTCTGGTTTAGTCTTGGTTTACATGTGGTTTAGATCTGGATAATGTTACAATAAACCTCCTTTAGTCCTTTAGTTTCACTTAAAGGTTGTATGGAGGATTTTTTTTTTGGTTCAAACTGTCATTGAAATTCAATTTCAAAATCATTTAAAATACCATTACAGAGACGCAGCAGCCTTGTAATTATGATGACCAAAATAAAAAAAGAATGAAAATCTATCAACTGTGGATGTAGTGAGGCCAGATAAACATCAGCCAATAGAAAACGAGGCTGCCTCATTTTCTATTGGCTGTTAGGTTGTCAATCAAACTCTCTACATTTCTAGAGTAATTGACTCACGGCATGCAGGGATTACGTGGTTTATGCAGTGATTCTTAGAGGTTTTTTCAAACTGTAGCTTCCTCACAGTTCGCACAAAATTTGTTGCGATGGAGGACAAAGAATCCACCAGTTCGCCGCAAAAGAAAGTCCATTTTTGAGGTCGCTGAAGGAGAAAAGGAGAAGGAGAAAAGGAGCAAAGCCAAACTGAGGTGATTCTTGGAGATTCCTTCCAGCGATGGCGCGACTGAAGCAGACGAAGGGTCTAAAAACTGACGCGTCGGTCGCTAAACTATTTCCACACAGGTCACTTCAACGGTAATTCTGAACACGCACTGGCTGTAAACAAGCGTGATTTCTGGAGTAAGGAGGCGGGAGGAGGTGTTTCTACTGAGGAGCTGTGGAGGAGGGAGGTGATGTTGTGCATGCACGACATTTGAAAAAGGACGCTGTCGCTGTATTTATCTTTCTTTAAAAAATCCTCTATACAAC